CTACGATTACGACTGATAAAAACACAATGCCTACCCCCAAAGATGCTGTAACACACGACGATTTACAAGCGTTATCGGAAAACCTTACCGAGATGATGCGAAAACATGTTGATGTTTTGACGTCGGCGTTTAAAACTACCACGCAGACTAGTCAGCAACAATTTGGTCAGCTTCAAGAAAGCCTTAACAATTTTGAGGGAAACACACCGACCTCTAATGCATCGGTCTCAGGACTAGGAGACCGCGCTCCTCTCTTTTCTGGTGACGCGCGTGATGACCCAATGATATTTGCCGAGCAATTTGGCCTGTATGCTCAGCTATGTAATTGGACTGATGCGCAATGTCTAATCGCCTTTCCACTTTCGTTAACCGGTCAGGCACGGCTATGGTTTTCCTCTTTGCCTGCAGATTCTTATAAAACTATGACCGAGCTCACTAAATTGTTTAGGGACAGATTTTTATCTTCTTCTGGTAATTTTCTTATTAGACAAAAACTCACGCAAAGAAAAYAACTTCCCTCTGAATCAGTTGATAGTTTTGTTACCGATATTCGTAGACGCTGCCAACGCTTAGGCATAACTGAAGATGAAGAGATGTTACATTTCTTTGTTACTGGACTACTGCCCGACCTACAGTACCACGTTATTTTGAATAAACCGAAAACATTAGCGGAAGCTGAGGAATTAGCTAAATTAAAAAGTTTAGTATCTTCTACATCCCCTTCTTTTTCACTAGCGGATGTGCAGAGTCTTCAGAAGCAGTTTGTCTCTCAATTGAATTCAGTTCAACATCAAAATGATTGGCCAAAACCTCAACAAAACCAATCCGTGAATGCTTGCGCTTTTGATGGATCTAGCCAGTACGGACCTTGTAAGACATTTGATTCTCGCGAGTTAAGACAAATTATTCGACAAGAGCTTAATACTTTTGAATCGCGTACACAAAATGGTAATCGTCAACAGCAAAATCAATCCCGTAATTTTAACAATAATTTTCGACCGCG